GTCAGAAGCTTGTGGTGATTCTGGTAAGGTCTCAGAGTGCTGCCTAAGCTCCATTTCCAATGGCAACCAAACTGAAAATTGCTAATGCGCCTTGTCTTGAACTTACAAGATWTGGGGCTCGCAAGTGCATTTGCACAGGCCCATGGTCTCCACAGGAAAAGCGCAGTGCCAGAGCTCTGCTCCCRGCCCGGCCACAGGCTCCCGCAGCGTGTCCAGATCAAGAGAGGAAGCTACCAGGTTTGCTAGGGAAGAGCGCTTCCATAAGCCATGACAAATAAAGGGAAACCAATTAAACCCATCTTTTCTTGTGCTTTTCCTTTGAAGTTTATCCAATAAACTCAGCCTATGCACATACCTGAGCTATCGCTTTACGAGTTAGGTTTTTATTGTTATTCCCTTCATTTTTTAATTCAGTTTGCAAACTGGGGCAGGCTTTGTCTTCTGAGGTTGGACCTCACTGCCAGACCTGAACTCTGAATCTTTATTCTCACCCGCAGCCCAGGCGTTGGTAGCAACAACAGACACAGCTCTCATATACTCGCCAAGCTGCCTTCCACCAGCTAGCTGTGATGGGTTTGTTGGTCAAGAATGGTGGGTTCTCATGTGGGGGAAGAGGAGGCACTTGGACACTGCTGTTGCCACATTACTTAGGATGCTCTAACTGCTTTTCTTAGTTACGCAATCCTCAGATCCCAGAGTCAGGCATCAAGAAGACTTGTGCACTGTAGGTATGACTGGGAAGGGAGAAGAACAGTCTGAAGGCCAAAAAGGTGATTCTTTCCCTCCTGAAGAGCACTAGAGCCTCCTGCACAGCACATGAAGTGAGCACAGCGGTTCCTATTGAATTTCCTTGTCTTGGCTCAAGGTCACTGACATCAGTCCCCGAAATAAGACTGTTTTCATTCATTTGGATCAAACGAATTCTAGTTATAATGTTTTTCAGCCAGCCCTGGAGTGTCTCATGAGCAATACCACCTTGCAAACTGCTGTAAATTGCAAACAAAAGCGTTTAGCCGCCTGTGTTCATTTAAACAGCAGCCGTGCCTGACCCTTCTCTGTGCTTGATTCCCCCATTAATTCAGTGTAAAAGAGGTATGGAGAAAAACATTCACCGCTAGAACCACAGAGCTTTGATCTCTCAGCATGTCAGGCTTCCTCATCTAACAGTGTTTTTCTATTGCTCTGTCAATGCACACATTCACAGTGAGGTAGACAAAACATATAGAAATCTTGTGGGAAGCACARGTGAGCATTTATAGTAGATTTCTACCTACCAGCACACCTTCAGGTTGATAATGTTGTTCACCTTGCTTTCATGAGGCCTTGAGACCTCCAGCTGGACAGGCACATGTAAGAGCKGAGCATTGCTACAGCCTCACCGCTTTGCTCCTCTCTGTGTTTGCAGCAAATCTCTCTCTGGCTCTCTTGACAGCAATTTAAGCATGTGCTGAGGATCACYACTGAGGTACCTGCTCCAGGTATGGCTGCTTAATCCCTATTTTGTAGAGCCCCTGCACAGCTGCAGGGATTGACATCTCCTAAATTCAGCAGCGCTCTCCCATCCGTACTGCCCAAGCTGCTCTCCAAAACATTCTGGATCTGTTTTACCTTCTTCTTTAGTATGTTGTTGACAAATGTTTTCAAAGCTTCTTTATTTTTGTGTGAACATTCCCTCTTCGTTTGTTCCAGAGGAATAAATTGGCCCTGATTGCTTTACTGTCTGAACATTACTTTTCTGCAGTATCTTCTGGTTTTCTTTGGCCATTTATTGACACTAGATAATATAACATGAAAGGAGCGTGGATGGGCTTTTACTGAAGAAATCAGCTAAATAGCTATTAGGGGATTAAAAGCAATTCCATGGCCAGGATTACACATCTTTTAAATGCTGATAATATCAAGAAGCAAATGGATTTGTAATTTAATGACAGAAGAGGGAAGACTTCAGATGTACTTTTTTTTTTCCACATTTGATAGAAAGATTAAAGCGTCTGCATTTGGTGTGCAGGAGTTTGATAAAGCTGCAGCACGGTTGCCTAGGGATATCAGCGTTTGTCTTCCTTGTAAACAGTAATTGTGCCACATGGAGAAAATTCTTCTGGTCAACATTTCTATTAAGACTTTAATTCTCGGAGTGACAAGCTGGATCATTGTCTGCTTTCAAAGCCTCATAATGATACACTTGGGAAGCTTTGATGAAAAACTTTGTCCYGACAGCCACAGCTTGAGAAAGCTTTTGAAATGTACCATTGCCTYGAAATCTTTGCTGATGCGTGTAGGAAACAGTGATCCATATCTGGGAAGTTTTGTGTTGTTTTCTACTTCCTTGTGCTAGAAGTGCTAAAGCAAGAGGTTTGTATGGCAACAGCAACTGTGAGAAACAAAATGTAGAGTGTTCTCCCCTGTGAGTGGTATACGACCTTCTCTGGGATGTGGAAATCAGAMTATGGATAGCCATGGATATCACTTATAATCCAAATACCTGCGATAACCACCCGACCTAAACATTTCTGTGGGATGTTATCGGGTGTCTTCCACTCACAAAATAATGGACCTTATGGTCATCTTTATTTGGCTTGAATTAATTCATTGTAATTTTATGTATATTCACTGCTTTTTTGTCTTCAGAGAAGTTTGCAAACAACTCTGCCTCATAGAAATCATCCGAGGTACTCTGAGGGAGCATACATTTTTCATAGATACCAGGAATTTATTCTCTGGTTTGTGGGAGAAACGCAATTCAGTCTTACTGACGGAGCTACTACCAGCATTACTGTATTTCCAACTATCTAAAATGAGAGGCAGACATTGAGTTTCCTGTCAGAGACCACAAAAAGTCATGAATCCCAGTCACACACTCAGACCACTACCTTGCCCTCCTCCCCTTTCTTTCGTTAACAAGCACTTGTGACCCCCAAAATAGGCGCTTCCCCTTGGAATCCTTGGCCAAGAAAGTGGCTGTACACTCTTTGGAGCTTGGAAAYAGATCATACGAGAGCAACAGCCCTTATAGAAAAAAAAATAAAGTCATTATTAAAGGAACTTGGCTGCTGCCTAAAAAAGAAAGAACAAAGCTTGTGACTTGCATGGACATTTTTAACAATGCTGCTGTAATACAGTCCCACTGAGTGACTAATTTGTAGCAAGCCATTCAGATAACTCATTTCCATTTGTGAATTGGGTGATTTGCCTAAATGTATTTGCTTTTCAAGGTAACTAGCTAAAATTTTTGAAAAGAAATGCATTCAAAGCCTCAGCAATAGTTATACCAAAACTTTCGTCGCACAAGTTTGGAGATGGGCAGTCAACAGCTCAAAGTGTTCAAACAGATGTTCCAGAGTAGTTGRCTGAAAATCAGTAGAGGAATATTTTTATACTTAATAATTTTAATTAGGTGCTCCTAGCAAATACGTTTCTGCTCCCTTTTCTAGATTTAAAAACTCTTACTCTTATCATAGCCAGTTTATATTTAGGTCCCGACCATTTTCTTTATTCTATCCTGAAAATTCTTTATTCCTGCAAACACTGCTGACCCATTCATTATTATGGATAGAAAGTGGGAGAAAAACAAACATAAAAACAAAGGAACATAGCCAGGGTTAATTCTACTTTTTATTTCAATGAAATTCATGGACATGTTTTGAGGTATTTGATCAATATTTGTTCATATTTATACATAAGTATGTTTTCAGTCAGCATATCATGACAGAAAGAAAATAGGACATGAAACCACTTCTCCAACATGAGGTTCAAAAATAAAAGTTGAAAGGTAAGTGGGAAGTATATGGGAAAAGGGCAGTTTACCCCCTAATTTGGAATGACAGATATTTAAATATAAGCAGATAGTTAAGTATTTGATTAAATCTGGACTTGGAGAAAGGAAATATTTTTGAGAAATTTAGAGAAAAAAATCTGCATCTCATTTTAAGCAGACATGGTCCAAATAAACAGTATTTTGTAGATTTTGAAATATTAATCTTAAAAGATGTCACCTTTTAAAAAATAATACAATAAAAGAGAGAAATGCCTACATTTTCATGCAGATGTAAACTGATATATTTAAAGTTTCCCTTTTTGTACGCAGCAGTACCTAATCTCTACAGGAGCATATCTCCAAGTGTATAAATTCTGACCTATCAAAAAGCCACAGTCAATTGTCTTATCTGCAAATTCCATTTTCATAAAAGAACGAAAAAGGCTGGAATTTTTTTTCACTATCAATAGTGAAACTTGCTTTTATAGGTGCAGTTTGACAAAACTCTGCTGGCCACTTCCTTGTATTGACTGGAACGAAAGTGTCAGACTTGCTTTTCCCAGAAAAAAATCCTTAAAAAAAGGTGATTACCTTACAGCCATTTCCAAAGCGTGAGATGTCACTTTGGAAGATGCCACAAAAGAAATCCAATCACAAATATAGGCTTATTTTTAATTATATTATATATATATGTATGTATATATGTATGTATATATGTGTGTGTATATATATATACACACACACACATACATATATATATATATATATATATAAATTTGGGGAGAAAAAGAAGCTTTTCTGGGAGTTTTCTAAAAGCTTTAGGGAAAGACATTTCTACCTCAATCTTACCTTAACAAAAGTTACAGGAGGGAGCAGAGGAGAGGGAGGAGGATTTCCTGAAACTGTTTTATCTGTTTGTCTCACCAAGTGCAAGGCAAGAGACACCAAACAGAACAGAAGCAGAATGAGAAAAACCGCTTCATTTTTTGCAGTCTACAGAAAGTTTGGCAGTGGAGCTGAAGCAATCTGGGAGAAATCTGCTTGCTTACAGAGCATCTTTAGGTTCCTCACAGACAAAATGAGAAATCCCCTGACAGACTGAAAAATACCTTTAGATCTTCCATTTTCTTTTTCTTTTTTTTTCTTTTCTTTCATTTTCCCCGTGTTCGTTTTCACCCGCAGCAAAACCCCCAAGGTGCGGTTCCCAGGCGGCCTTGGAGGCTTCTGTTTCCAGGGAAGTYGTCTCCTAGCTGCCCGGCTCCTCAAACTCGCTGTAGGGAGACGACGCCGAGGARGTTTTGGACTCGCCGTCGCTGTTGCACTCCCTGAGGGCGCCAGGGCTGGAGGCTCCCGCCATCTCCACGGCAGCTCCCTCGGGCGCTCCCTCGCCGCCGGAGCCTACGGGGCGAYGGTCCAGCAAGCTCTGCAGGTGCTTGATGTAGCCGATGGCCGCCCGCAGCGTCTCCACCTTGCTGAGGCGCCTGTCGGCGAATTCCTTGGGCAGGTGCTCCCTGAGGCGCGTGTAGCCCTCGTTGACGCAGCGCACCCGCTGCCGCTCCCTCTCGTTCCGCTTGCGGATGAAGGCAGGCTCGAAGGAGCAGTCGTAGAAGCCCATGTAGCCTGGGAAGGGGACGTAGGAGATGCGCGGCGCGTGCCCGCCGTACGCCGGCTCCCAGTAAGAGGGCTCAAAGGGGAAGGGGACCCCAAAGGGCTCCCGCAGGGGCACCCTGTGGGGAGTCCCCTGGCCAACAGCTCCTGAAAACGCGATCCGGTTCAAGAGTCCGTCATCATCTTTACTGCTGTCCATGCTTTTTCCCTTTTTTTTTTTTTTTTTTTTTTTTCCCCCACTGGTGCAATTGTCCGTTCCCAAATTTGACTTCCAAATCTCGTATCAATCCAAGCAAAGAGGAAACATTTCTGCGGGTGCTCTGCCCCGCAGGCTGCAGTTTCGTCCTGTGGTATATAGCAATTTAGCTCCTCAAATAGAGCTAACCATTTGTGAGGTCTACCTTGTGCCTCAAAATCAGCTCAAAGTCTTCCTTTTTTTTGTAGATGTAGGATGCCAGCTAATTTATAGATGGGTTTTGAGGACCATCACTGCACACTTTAAACCCTGCTTTTCCTCTGATCTTCATATTTCAAAAGATAATAAGAGGGTTCCTGTGTATTCCTTTTCTCTCCGCTTGAAATTATGACCATAAGAGATAATGCCAAACATAAATAATCTTCCAGGCTCTAAACACTTCTCATGTATTGTAATCCACGGTATCGTTTGATATAATTGTCTCCAAAAGATGGGTAATTTGCAGAGTTTACACGGATCTTCAAAGTTTTGGCAGAACTCCTCCCTTTCAGGAACCAAGGATCTTCTGTCATCTGAAAACTACCCAAAGGCTTTTCACGATGAAATGCACAAGGCAACTGCAAGCTTTGTTGTTTCTGCTGCTCAGGTCTAAGTGAAACAGCTCACATGCAGCCTGCAGAACTTACATGCTATCTCTTTAGCTTTCCGGGCAAGCGAGGAAATCATCAAAGGGAAGAGTGCTCTCTTGTGGTTACAAGTCAGGTCAGATCAAGAATGCATACGTGCAAACGTATAGAGGAAAGAGGAAAGAGGAAAACTGCTCGCTTCACCTGAAGAGAGGCTTTTTCAAGAAATGGGAGTTTCACAAGTGGAAAGTGTGCACTTTCAAAAATCTTCAGCCTTTTGCCTGTTTCTGTTCCTTGCAGAGATGTTCTAGTCATTGCTATGAACACCTGCCTCAAGAAAACAGCTCTAACGGTTATGCTCTGATTGCCCCGGACAGCAGGGTAGATATTACTAGCTGTTTGCACACATCCTAGCTTACCAGATGGACCCTGCATAGTGCTTTAATTGGAGAGCAGAAAATTCCTTTAACTGTACCAGACCTGTGCTGTATCCTTCAATTTGCTCACCAAAGAGGTGGAGAGAAGACAAGGATTTTCGCCACTGTAAGGGCATAATGTCCCTGCCTGTGTTTCCAAGATGGCCTGTTGTGTTAGGGTCATCTTCTGCAGCAAATGGAGTGTATCCGTAAGGTTCCACAGCTACAAAATCTTCCCCAAAACACGTTTGCAGTGAAATAAATCTGTTGATTCTCCCACCACCAGTTTGGTGAATTGAACTTTTGGTCTGGGGCACCTACGGGAAGAACGTAAAAAGGTAGAGGCACATAGGCTGTCTTAAAACTGTTCTTTGCTCAAAGCGAAAGTTTCCGCCCTGCTCAGTGTTTCATGCCAAACCGTCTCAGAGTGGTGAATAACTGAAACAACATCCTCCACTCCGAGAAACACATCAATGTCTCTGCTGAGTCAGAAACCAGCAGCAATGACGTCAGTGTGCGTTCTCAAACCAGCTTTTGTATCTTTGCGGGCCTGTTCTGCAGCTCCAAAAAGAAATGATACAAGAGCAACCTAGATTGTAATCTTCGAAGTATGACAAACATACATAGAGATGGTTGCAGAAAGACATACGTGAGAACAGTTCTGGACTCCGACTTATACCAGGGGTAAGATGAGCTCCAAAAGTGCTCGGAAGTCAGGGCAAGTTTCCATCTACTTCACTCCTTCACTGATATTGTCTAGCAGAGCTGTTTTTACAAAGAGAAGGTTTTGTAGCAATACCTGAAACTCGGGTACAACGTTTCACAAGGGGTTGAGATATTTTTCACAGAATTACAGAATCCCAGAATGGTTGAGTTTGGAAGGGATCTAGAGATCTCTGTAGAGATCTYTCTAGAGATCATCTAGTCCAACCCCCTGCTCCAGCAGGGACACCCAGAGCACGGGGCACAGCGTGGCATCCAGGCGGATTTGGAAGATCTCCAGAGAAGGAGACTCCACARCCTCCCTGAGCAGCCTGTGCCAGGGCTCTGTCACCCTCACAGGGAAGAAATTCTTCCTCACATGCGGATGGAACTGCCTGCGTTTTAATTTGTACCCATGATCCCTTGTCCTGTTACTGGCCACCATTGAGAACAGTTCAGCCCCATCCTCCCTACAGTTCCCCCTCAGGTATTTGTACATATTGAGCAGATCTCCTCTCAACCTTCTCCAGGCTAAACAGGCCCAACTCACTCAGTCTCTCCTCGTACAAGAGATGCTCCAGTCCCTTAATCATCTTTATCTCCCTCTGCTGGACCCTCTCTAGGAGCTCCACATCCTTCTTATACYGGGGAGTCCAGAACTGCCCTCAATGCTCCAGGGGTGGCCTCCCCAGGGCTGAGCAGAGGGGCAGAATCACCTCCCTTGACCTGCTGGCAACACTGCTCCTGATGCAGCCAGGATCCCATTGGCCTTCTTGGCCACGAGGGCACTGCTGCCGCATGGTTAACTTGGTGTCAACAAGGACTCCCAGGTCCCTCTCCATGGAGCTGTTCTCCAGCAGGTCAACCCCTAATCTGTACTGGTGCCTGGGATTATTCCTGCCCAGGTGCAGGACCCTGCACTTGTCCTTATTGAACCTCAGGAGGTTCCTCTCTGCCCAACTCCGCAGCCTGTCCTGGTCCCTCTGAACGGCAGCACAGCCCTCCCAAGTGTCAGCYGGAGATCCAGCTTGGTATCATATGCAGACTTGCTCAGGGTGACTCTGTGCTCTCGTTCAAGTCACTGATGAACAAGTTGAACAGCACGGGGCCCAGGACTGATCCCTGTGGGACACCACTGGCCACAGGCCTTTTTCATTCACAACCAAAGGTCTTTCTAAAACATGTACCCTCACTTAGATGGAACATAGGGACGTGAAGCAGGAATTTTGGGAGAAGGCTCCATAATATGTATAAAACATTTCAGATCAAATGATCAAGAGATTCCAGTAGCCATTAAAAAATTGGTGAAAGCCATTGAATAGAATGGGCTTCTCAGCATGACTTGCTCTCTTAAATTTTGCCAGCTCTGACCAGAAAAGCTTCCAGTAAAAATGTTTTCAKAAATGATTTGTTAGAAGAGAATAGCCCATTCACTGAGGTAGACCAGGATTTACAAGTCTTTTCAAAGTAAAGAGGATGTTGAAATATATGAAAATGCTTGAATTAGGAAAATGCCATTTGATTCTATCGTTACTCAATTTGAAAGGCTATTTTATCTATTATAAGCAGCACAGGCAAAGATCTTGCCCAGTTTGTATGATTTTTGCAGTAGCAGTATTCCTGTAAGGAAATTGAGGCATTCCTCCTGGGAGTCTCAGATGCTAGAAGTTTCCAAAGCTGTGTACGACTTTGCTAAAAGTCTAGCCCTGTTCAAAAGGCAGGGTTGTGTTTCAGTTTGGTGGCACAAACATTGCTGTTTGCCACCAGACCTCTTTTCTGTTTACTGTAAATGCAGGTCACCTGCACCTTCCACAGCGTCAGGATTCCACCTGCACCAAACAGGCACTTGCTTTTCCTGATTAAAAAAAAAATAAAAAAATAAAATAACATGTTGGTAATTCTTCRGAGAAACGCACAAAAAAGTGCTACAGGTAAATGTTATCTGTTAAACWGAGTGACTGAAAGAGTTGATCTCGGATCACATGGAGTCTATAGACTGATTTGGTTTCTACACGAGAGAAAAACGGAAATCCTCCCATGAGCTTTGTTTAATGTGTTATCATCTTCCTGACGAGATAATGCCGCTCTCTTGGAAGGGGGATCTCCCTCGGGCAGGAAGCCAATGCCTCACACAGCCCAGAGCAGATCCCTTTGGAGAGATGGAGCAGGATTAACACAATGCACATTCCTTGTCCAGATCCAATGCCCTCCTCAATGGGTCTGCACATGCACATCGACTTAGTGCAAGTAAGCGGGACTGACCCACCGTAGGGTAAGGCTGAGGTGTTTTCTTCTTAAGAGTAGGTTAAGATGAAGTGGATTATGCCTCCCTTCCATGCAAAGCCTTTGATCTTCTTTCTGGGACTGCTTCTCGGATTAACTCCTCTTCTTTAACACATTTGCCTGRGTGACATTTTGATCCCAGAACACCACATCCTTGAAGCTAGGGGAAGCTGAGGCCTTGGTCACACAGTGGAAATCAAACCTTGGTCACTCTGCTACAGAGGCAAACAAAGTCCCACTACACAACTGTTGCAAGATGATATTYAGAAGTTTCTGAAAGTAGCACTGTTTCTATTTATATTACATGTTTTGCTCTTTTTTTTTTTCTTCTAAATACAAATTTTAATCTGGGACRCTGGGCCATTCCTTACATTCTTGATAACCTATAGAATGCTCACAACTTTCCTTCCTTCTCCTTTGCTATACACTCTCAATTACCCAGCCAAAACTAATATTTCCCACACACGTACAAACAAAAGATTGAGGCATATTCCTTCCAGAYATAATTCAGTTGTGCTTTTAACTAAATATATCCCAATACAATATCTAGAAGAAAAAGAATGTAATCTTTCTGGTGTTGTACTTGCAAAAGAACCCTCAATCCCTATATTACTTCTTTGCTTCCAATTTGTTCTGACTCCCTCAAGACTCATGTATAACACCTCTAACATGCCAGCGTTACACAGTGATGGATCTGACTGACTTTGAAATCTCAAAGCAACAGATTTGCCATGGTGCCATGTCCCTTGAGGTCTTCTCTGAAAAGAAAATGACCAGTGGAAGTGCTGTAGCAGAAACGCAGGAGTCAGCTGAGCACATGCAAGTCCACCTGTTCCCCAACAGATGTTTCAAATATTTTATTTGTGAACCTGCTACCAAGGAGAAATGGGAAAATCCATCAGGAGTTAAAAGAAAGCCTCACAACATTATTCTTTTCTTAAATGTTACTCCATTATAAGTATACTGAATTCTAATA